TTAAACAACTTGATCGATTGAAATGAGGTTTGCAACATTTCGAAGGATTTCACCAAACTTGGATTTCCTGAGAGTTTGAGGAATTTCAAAAATATCTGCTGTATCGATTAATTCTAAAATCTAATCAGCTCTTAATCTCTAAAAATATCAAGAAAAAACCATGTATTGTTATTAATAAGCTGTACATGTATAATAAGTATTATTATACGTATTTTTTACAACAATGTTTGTAATTAAAATTATTTAATTACGAAAATAACATCTGCCGGTCATATTTTGGAGAATGAATTTAATTAAATGTTATTGTAATTAAACTAGTAATTTTTTCTCTTCACCTTTACGTCGCAGCAATATCAAGTAGTATAACACAGTTTTCGATCTGACGAAAAATTCCTCTTGCTAAGATACGGTATAATCTACGTGCTTACATTTATATTTGTTAGTAATTCTGATGTTGAAGAAATCTGAATACCAGCAAAATAGATCGCTTATAAATACACAATTATTTAGATTAAACAAAAAATAAACCCGAGTTGTAATTCTGCATACAAATAGAAAGTGAATCTTTAGCATCCTAAAATACAGTTAATGTAGAACAAACCAAATAAATTATATTATATGGTCCATAAAACAAAGATCTTACGTGAGCAAGATACGAATATGATTATATTAGTGTAGTAAAAAAATTTTATTTTTTTTCTTTAGTCTCCATTTAGTTATTACAAACGGCTAAATATATTTATAAACTTTGTTTGCAGTTACATAATATGATCAGTGGCTATTGTATTGCGCATAATTTTAATGATATAAATTGCATAAAATAACGATTCATTAATTTTAGTTTTAAAGATTAAGCGATACATTATGGAATTATTTATTTTTGTAATTAAATATCTACTAAAATTTCAACTTTTAACTTTTTTCCAATGCTAAAATTTATTTGTTCCATTTCTTCCTAAAAATATTAAGCATTTTACTTTTCAGAACATTTTAACAATTTTGAGACATAGTTTCACCAAAATAGTGTAAAATAACAGTTCGAATTTTTCCGAATTATGGAACTAAAAATAAACTGAAATATTGAAAACATAATTTACATAAAAATGTAGTGCCCTAATACTTTTAGAAACATGTTTGGATGTGACACTTTGTGAATACAATTTATGTAAATTTTTAACATGACGGTTATTTGCGGGTATTCTATTATACTCAGAACAGAACTTGCACGAGAAATGTCTGAATAAATAACATGAATTGCTATAACCCTTCTGTAATATTAAATATCATGTGAATAAATATTGGTATGTTCAATCATAACCTCAAACTCATGTAAATTTATAATTTTATCGTAGAAAAAATATCAATTCCACAGTTTTTCGAATACCGTTCTAATTCAAGTATATTAAATTGATAGGTCACTTAGAGCTGTAAAATACGAAGGTTAACCGATAAACTAGGTAATAATTAATGGTGTTAGGATATATTGACGTTCTGTTCGTCAACATATCAGTATACACTGCCCAAGCGACATGGTATTATTCCCTTCTAAGTAACCATCCTCATCATCAATTTCAATACGTGACTTGAGGCTTGAATCCATAAATATATTATTATACATCACCGGTAATCGATTAGCCCGGTTATCTAATCCAGAAGACAATTAATTGTTTTACATTCTTCATTTAAGTTATAGAGGAAGAGTTTCAATTGTTATTGAAAAATATTTAACATTGACAAAAGATAAACTTAAAAGAACTCCAATCACTGCCCATTAGCTAAATAAAATTCCATAAAAAAGATAATTTTTATTTTTTCTAATAGTTACGTATACGTCGTATTAAACAAAAATTGATTTAATAGTCGATTAACATCACAACTAATGCCAGATAAGCTTCTTGAAAAAATAAAAAAATAATTTTCATTTTAGAAATTAATACCTCAAATTTAAATCTCTTGCAGAGAGACGATTCAGTGACCACGCGCCACCTGTCGGAAATTTTTAATACTTGATTTTAATAAAAAATCATATGAGCATATCAAAAATGATATATGAACATATCAGACTATATTTCAGTAATTTTTTTGATGGGATGTAATATTTATTAATTCATTAATGAAAATCGATAGTTATGTAACTCGGCGAAAAATTTGAACTTTATATGTTATTTTAATTTGATTGTAATGAAATAACCTAACTGATGTACTTTAACTATGATATTTTGACAGGTAAACCAAAGCCTCAAGTTATGTGGTTCCTCGAAAACCGAATGATTGACGGAACATACGAAGAACGGGATGTCCAGGGATCAACGGGAGATATTAATTTCATTACTGAGAACCGTATTACGCTAAAAGATCTTACCCGAAGCCAACATCATGCTAAATTAACGTGCAAAGCCAATAACACCCATCTAGCTGAGCCACCATCAACCACTGTTGTTATCGAACTTTTGAGTAAGTGCAACATCTTATTAATAATTAAAGAGTTATAATGACATGGTAATAATTGATTCTGTTTATTTTATCCTTTCGTATTACGTCGTATAATTGATAAAAAATTGTAAATGAAATAACGTTCTTGATAGTAAAAATTTTTTTCAAATTATATACTGTGAGTAGAGAATTTAGAATATTATGAGTTTCATAATTCACAAAAATTGAAAATTCTTAGGGCACCCATGGCAATAATTTTGTCGTTTGAACTACGAATACCTACCGCTCTGATAAGAATTAACATATTTCGGGTTAAAATGGATAAGTTTGAAAAATGAGGGTTCTTATCGCCCTATTATAAATATTTATATGTATCTGTAAGCGAGGGTCCCGTGAAAATAGAGAGACTAAAGTAATAGTCTACTCCTTTTGACTTTAGTAATCTCGAGACTTTTAATTAGATATACTAAGTATACTTAATGAATTACCCACATTAAAAATTACTGTGATGGCAGGAGGTTTAATATTCGACTATGAAATCACTTTCTTCTCCCAAAAAATTGAATCGAAAAAATTTTCACTGCTTCAGCGAGAAAAAATTTTTCCACTGTAGATCTAATAATATTATACGATACTAATCAGTGAGTTTATTATTTACTTAATTATATCAATCATCACTGATTCATCAGTTATAAGGAAAGTTTTTACTGATTCTATTAGTGATCTACTAGACCACTGATCAAGCAGTAGTTTGAGTTAAATACACTGAGATGAAAAATTTTTTATTAAAAATATATTCTTGACACAAGAACGCACATTCTTGAAAATTTTTTTGTCTGAATAATCGGTCGAATTGATTAAAATAATTTTTATTCAATTCAAGTAAAGCTATTCGCTTTTTTTATCATTAAAATAGAAAAAGATGTTGATATTGTTCTGACAAAAAATTAATATATTTAATACAAACTAGACATAACATGCTCGCTTCGCTCTCCTTCATTCTTTCAAAAATCCCACCACTATCTCAGTCGACCAATCAACAACCAAATAAAATAGTCACAGAAGTAACGTAAAACGATACGACATCCGGCCATCAAATTTTTTGAAGAGGATTCTTGAGTCAAAAAATCCTTGTCAGAATAAAATTTTTTTTCTCAGTGTAATCAATAAATTTATCGCTAATTTTTATTAGTAATTTAATTTTTAATTAATTAACTGTTCAAAATATTTCACCAATTTTATTAGTAACTTTGTTTTCAACTTATTCAGTAATTATTTATTAATTTATTCAGTAATAACTTATGTTTATAAATCAAAATGAGCTTTTAATATTTTTATTACTCGTTTGAAAATTTAATAAATTATTTTTAACCAGTTTTATATTGCTGAGATAAATTTGATAAAGTTTATCATAAAATATTATGTGTTTAAAAGATTATTCAGGATTCAACAATAAAAGTAGAATTCAAATTAGCTTGACTAATATAATTTACAATATCCGTGGAAACTTTTTTTTTCTTCATTAATTACTAACAATAATTAATTTTTCGTTCTGTATATTTTAATTTAATCATGGAAAAAAATTCTTCACCAGAAATTCCTCAGCACTTGAAGGATACTCAATACAATATAATTGTAAGATCGAGCGAGCCTGCCGTAGGCAGTCGACGCTCGATCTCAATTATATCGATAGCTTCGCTCGAAGAGATCACTAAGTAGTACCGTTCATGTACGCTCTTTATTCCACACATTTCAGCGCAAAAACAAAAGCTCATCGCTGTTAATAGCAACCGCTTTGTTTATTACTCATAAAGTTCAGCTAATCTTTAAAAAATAAAGAGATCACTGGGTGGGAAATAGAAAAAAAGTAATGTTAGGTGATTAAACCGGGTGGGAGTGATCTCTTCGAACGAAGCTATCGATATAATTGAGATCGAGCGTCGCCTGCCTACGGCAGGCTCGCTCGATCTTACAATTATATCTCTAGCTTCGTTCTTTAGATCACTAAGTAGATGTTCAGAGCAACAATGAACATATCAACAGTAAACTTATTTATTCAATAAATAAATAAAGTAAAATTATAATAATAAAATAATATAAATGAAATTGACTTTTTATTTATCTTTTTTTTTTTTTTTTTTTATTCAAGAACATAAAAAGTTTGTATTACAAACACATAAATGTATTTAACGTAAAAACAATTAACATAAACATAATTAATTAGTAAGAACAGATTCAGCGAATGTATTTTTATTTTCGATGGTTGGTCGATTGTAAAATTTTTCGAATACTTTTGATTTTTCCGACCAACCAGCTAATTTTTTAATTAAACTTAAATCAATTCCTTTTTTAAAGGCAGACGAAGTAGCTGCATGTCGCAAGCTGTGAGATTTAAAATCTTGACCGACACAAGTTTGTAAAAAGGAACGAATCGATCGACTAACTGTGTCTTTGGAAGCATTCTTATAAGGTTTAACAGTAGTGATAAATAAATTAATTGGATTTTTTTTTTACCAAAAATGAAGTACATTCCAAATACTTTTCTAAAGTAGAAACAACACATAAATTTACATTTTTATGAAAGTAGGAGCTGACAGAGTACAGTTTCCCTTATTGGGATAACTATCAATCAATTTAGTTTTAGCTTCTTTTTCCAGCCCAGATGAAACAATATCTTTCCAGCATGCAGAAAGTTCAGGGTGGAGATTATAAGTCTTGTCTTTCAGGAGACGCTTGTCCGTGCCAAGCATTTTCAGGACAGGATCACTGAGGTTGGGAACTTCAGAACCCACTGACTCAGGAGACTCGTCTGACGTCTTAGAATCTTTGGTTGTATCAACCACATCATGTTCAGAGCGTTGACTCTGACGTTGATCGTCATTATCTGAGTCTGCAAGAGCAATAAGAGTTAGGTTAAGATAAGCGACCAGGAAATAAATAATTATAATCAAAAAATTCCTGATGCAAGAAGTGAAAGGTTAGATTATTAAAATCTAATTTCACTTGTATTTTAAATCTTAACCCAGTCGAAAAAAAAGGTACACAAAATATAAAAATTTTATACCCCAAGAAAAAATAGGTGTAGACCATAAATAATTACCCTCAGATGAAGATCCACTAGCAGAAGAATCATGCATTTTTTTAAATGATTTTTGAATATTAATTAAGTCTTGATATTTTTTTAATTTTTTCTCAAGACTTTCCAAAGAGAGATCACTTTCATTTTTACGCTTATTATTCATTGTAAAATGAAAAAATAAGTAAAAGAAGTGTAAAATAAGTGGAATAGAAAACTTAAGATGTTTATTTAAAGCGCACAAAAAACGTAATGAGTAATAAACAAAGCGGTTGCTATTAACAGCGATGAGCTTTTGTTTTTGCGCTGAAATGTGTGGAATAAAGAGCGTACATGAACGGTACTACTTAGTGATCTAAAGAACGAAGCTAGAGATATAATTAAACATAAGAATGTAAAAACCCAGACAAAATAATTATTTTTAATTTAAATTGAAAGCAATTTGAAATATTTTACATTACAAATTGATTTTAAAGGCAAAGAAGTAAAAAAAATTTCCAGTTTCATTCTGTATAACGATATTTAATTCATTTTTACGAAATTGAAACATTTTTCACAGAATTGCCGACTGAAAATAGGATATCGGCGTTATGCGGACACGTATTGGCTAAGAGTGATGGGAATGTCAAAAACCAATCAAAGCTTTTGCAATTGATAACATTAATAACGTACAACCAGCTGGTCGTATTGCCAGAAAGCTAAGAATATAAAAAACGGTATATACATATACACAACACATCAGAATAACGTACACTCGCTGGCGCTTACGTACAGATATATATTTTTCAACAAAAAAAACTTAAAATAGGATATCGAGAAAAGAATTAATCTGCATCGAAAATATATATGTATACTCAAACGTTGAGATATTGAATTTAATTTAATGTTCCGTATTGGACTGATAGTCAACCATTTTTCGAGTCACGTTGTTCATGTATCGATATGATTTACGGTTAACTATGCGCTACAGCTACGCTGAAAATATAATAAATAAATCGACGACGCAATCGGACAAAGCGAGGAAATTGTTCGGTTGGCAAAGCACTCCAAAGTATATTCTCTACGGACATAAAAAAATACTGCTAGCTTGCCGTGTTAATCCATAAATTTATTTACGTCAAAATTATATATTTATATACATATGTATTTTTTTTATTTTAAATAATATGGGCCAAATTATTTTTATGGGTAGGATAAATATTTATAGAAATTATCTGGAAATATAAAATGCAAAATGAAATCGCGCCAATTATGTAACTGGCGCGAATAATATTATTTACACTGTTTATTAATCAATTTATTTTGTACTTTAGTTTGTGTTTATACTGGTTGGTTCATAAACAACAGTAAATAATATCAAAAATCTCACAGTAACGTGAATAAAAGAAGATATGCATTGAGTATTGATGTATAAATTTCAAAACTTAATTTTTAGCAATAAGGACGATTTCGAACAATTAAAAAATGCACGCTTCATTAAGCTCATTCAATTTTTAGTAAAAATATGATTTTTGCAACACAGATTTTTTCTCAAGAATAAGGACATGCTACCTTAAAAAAACAATGATTCAGAAAATATTGTATGAGTTTGGACTTATAAATCATTAAAGCAAGATATTTTTTATTATTTGTATTGAAATTCAAGTTGAAAGTGATTCAAATTTAAGATAAATAAATAAGTCTGCTTAGATAGTCTACTCTGGTATGAATATATTCTCTTGGTATATGTTTTATTTGAGAATGAATGATGAACGTATTTATTTAAAGTAAATGTTATACTCTGTATATTCATAATGTATTAAATAAGTTAAAGCCAGGTATCTTGCTCTAGGTATTTCAAAGCCTGACACAGAGTCAAGATTGTGACAACAGTTGCTTGTGATCCCTTATGAGAGAATGAGAATAGACTACACCGTACCTGATAAATCCTGTTAGTGTAAGAACGACAAGACTATTCCAGTTATTTTCCTAAGGGTGAGCTTGAGACTAAAGTCGCCAAAGATACAATTAACCCCAACATTTCAGTGATTTTCGAGCAACCTGCTATTAAGATTCCCTTTAGGACTGTATGTTAGTTACCGTTAACTACAGCTGTATCTCCACATATTTACAAAAACAATCATGTTAAGTTCATTAATAAAATAATAATAATAATAAGAATAATAATAATAATAGTGATAATAATTTTTAAAACAGTTAACGTTTTTTAATAAGAAAGAAGAGATTCAAAGTAAAAAATCCAACAAACTAAATATATCATAGCTAATGTAAGCACTTTTGAGATAAATACTTACCGATTTTCATAGCGCTTGGAATTTCAGATCATTAAATCCTCGACAAAAATACTCCGGAACAATAGTCTCTCAGCCAAAATATACCATCTCAATTTGGCATACCTATAACCATCTAGAAATACAGCCATCTCTATTTACTTCTTGGTTCGTTAGCCAATCCACAAATTTATTTTCGATGCACAAAGTCCCACTGAGTAGCTTTGTACTTAGTGTTAGTGTAATTTCATTCCGAGTAAGTTAATAAACTCATCAGCAGACTAGACCACCGTTCGGTAGTTTGACCGATGCTAATAAATTGTAATGTGCTGCAATGCCATGACCTATAACTCATTCTCAAGTTAAATAAATTTATTAAGAATTATCTGTCTTATCATATTAGCAATAGACAGTTATACTATAGGATCCATTTATTTATTAATCAATAAAGAATAATTTAAGTTGGACACACAATTAAAAAATTTTTCAGATATTGCGAAAAAATTTTTATGCTTACTTTAGCAGCTAATACAATAAAAAAAAATTTTTTTCTCCATCTGATTAGGGGTTATTTGTTGGGTGTTAAAGTTGTTCCTGATGGTATTGTATTGCAGCACTTTTTTTTGCTGTAAGTATTTATCTGTAGAGAATATGCATATAAGTCAGAAAATAATCGTAGTAATAATAGTAGATGGAAATCTGTATCGTGAGAACACTAGATTTAGCCAGTTTCACGTTCTTCCTAAGTGCACTGGTAGGCAATCTACTAATATTATAACCACTCTCGAAATAGTGTTCTTCGCTAAGATAAAGTTGCGTCATTTTGCCTTACAGATAGTTTACCATTTAATTTTACTTCTGATAATTATAATGGAAAAAAAAAAATTTTCGACAACGTCCTCCGGCAAATAATAGGCAAGATAGGAAAACCGACTCGTTCGCTAAGTTCCACTCACTTAACCTGTTACAGCTTTCTTTTAATTAAACAAACTCAATTTCATCTTGTACTTTAGTTTCCTTATATTTTTTTTTTTTTTTCTCAGATAGCCACTAGGAGTTATCGTTCTTACTTACTTACTTACTTACTTCAGAAGTTAGTTAAGCGGTCGGTTGGTTCTGTGCATGCCAGTATAGATGTAGAATTGAGAAGATATTTCAGGAAATTATGAAAATTGTTTTGTTGCTCTTAGCAAATGAAAATCAAAGTTAGATTTGAATTTCAACTCACCTGCGACTTTATTACCCGTTTCTCAATTCTATCTCTCTAAATAGTTTTAATAGTCTAAAGGCACTGCAAGAATGCCATTACTCTTTCAAAGAACCGCAAAATTTTAACAAACTTATGCTTACATGTCCTTTTAAAATATTTTTTTTGTTTTTAGAGTTCCTCTCTAAAGACTTAGCTACAGCATACAGCATGCAATTAAGAGTTTTACTAAGCTCATTTAGATGAATTTTTTACTTGGATATATATACTTCTTTGACTAAAATTAGTGAAAAATTTATCCTTATGAGCATGTTGACTTAAATAATTTTCTTTCTACTTTTTGCTGTGAAAGCTTAAACTTTAAATAAAAAAATTTCTGAAGAAGTATGTAAAATTTTATATTTAATCAATTTACTTTTGAAATTTTCAAAAATATATTTCTAACAAAAAATGATCAACAAATAATTATCAAGTCGAATTTTTGTACGGGAAATCTTAATTTTTGAAGTTCGAATGCTATGTCAGTAATTTCGAGTTTTTTTTCTTGAAAAGAAGAAAATCTGTTGACTCATAAAATATTACTTTTTACTTACATTAAAAAAGATAATAACATTAATCAAAAATTATTCCCTCATTTAATAAAAATTGATCTATCGTGAATAAATATTTGCTGATGATTTTAAAGAGCGCTACCTATTTTAATGCTATAGACAGCACTAATGTTACCAATCGATAAATCAAAATAAATTCCTACCTTTTGGAGAATGAAACTTTAACATTATTCCTGTATATAATTATAATCACATTAATTCTAATTAAGAAAAACCACAGACATTAATTGCTGTATTTGTACGATGATTATAGTAATTTTATTCAGACAAACGCGAGCTTGTAATGAGCAAAGTTTTTAGAGGAATAACACATCCTCTAAACAGTTTATGCAGCCAGCCAGCAAGCGTGGCTATACGCTGATATTACTGTGCTGTGGTATTGTCGGACACACTTATTGTGCCATGAACTTTCACTAATACTCGGAAGTTAAAATCACACAATGCCAGTTTTGATAGAAAATTCAGATTGCTGACGGGAATTTAAAAACATTGAAATATTATGGTTGAATGAATAAAACACATTTCATAATTTCAATATAAATCAATAAATTTTCATTATTATTATTATTATTATTATTATTTTGTTATTGTTATTGTCATAAATTGTTGCAATAGGTCCTGCTAAATAAAAATAAATGATAAATATTTATTTAATGAATTAAAAAAAATTATTCTTCAGTGTCCAAGTTATATTTTGTTACACTAGTCACAAAAATACAATCACAACACACTGACAATACAAATACTTCAATCACATTGATAATAGAATCCCTTTTCCTTAAGTTGCAAAAAACGAATGCAATAGTAAAATTTCATTAAATACCTACAGACGAATAGGTTATTTTCAGACTAGGAGAATACAATTACATGAAAATTAAAGCTCGTTTAATGGGTTTTAAAATGTAATTTACAAAAATTCGATAAATTATTTCATTCAAAAGTTATCCGTGAAATAAACTACTAAAAAATGAAT